CCCAGCCTGTCCTCACAGGGAGCTGCTCCAGCCCCTCAGCATCTTTGTGGCCTCCTCTGGACCCGCTCAAGTCTGTGTCTGTCTTGTGCTGGGGGCCCCAGAGCTGGACGCAGCCCTGCAGGGGGGGTCTCACGAGTTTAAGTGATAATTAAGTGACTTCTTAAAAAATAAGGTAAGAAGTTAAGTAACTGAGTGAGTTGGTGGATGTGTCTGGAAAAGTGAACAGCATCCATTATGGGCTGAAAACTGGCACAATGAGCATTGGGGTAAGATCCCTCACTGTAGCTACAAATTACATTCACCAAGAGAATCAAATTAGTGCCTAGTGTGCCTACTTCTTCATTATCGTATATTAAAGATCCTGCAAACTGAAGCACCATAGAAGGTTAAAGACACACTAATTTCTCTGTGTATGAATAGCTAGCGGTTATTAATTTGCCAGAGATCCATAGGGGAAATTTTAAGAAGTGGTGCATAGGGATTTGGTGGACAAGGACCAATTAATCAGTGGGATTCTGCAGATCCAGTCTGTGCAAGCTGCTCTGAGAGTGTCGCTAACTGCTCCAGTTTGGTTAAGGCAGAGCTGTATTTGTGGCTGTGATAACTTGCTGGGCCTGACTCAGCAAGCATGGCTACTGCAGATGTGGGGCTCGAGTGCCAACACAGACAGATGCCCTGCACGGCTGCAACGGAGGGGAAGGCAGGCTCTTGCCTCCGTTATCTGCTCCGAGAGCCCCATACATCCCACAGAACCAGTCACAGCGGGGAAAATCAGCAAAGGCGTGAATGCAGAGCAGTCGTACGTGAGACAGTTTGGGCCTAACCGCTGTTCCCAGCGTGGAAACAGAGTATTTGACTGGAGTCTGGTTTTCAACTTAGTGCTGCATTGCAGCGAGGCAGCACAAACCCAAGAGTACTCTGGTATGTGTTTCAAGACCCATGTTACAGTCAGGTATACAGCAGCTCCTCCGAAAGGGAAGGCTTTGCTTTTTTTTCCCTTTACGTTAGGTATCAAAATGTTATTAGCTGAAAATCCACTCAAGGTAAGGTAGAGGAAAATAAAAATTGACACATACCCCAGGAGCTTTAATTACTGTATCAATTGTTCGTGGAGATGTTGCAGCTGCCCTTACTATGAACTCGTGAGATGGATTTCTCTGATGTGCTTCCGAGAAGCCCAACACGAGCGCGGCACCAGGAACGTACTGCATGAATCTAGAGGCAAACAAGATGGGACAAACTCAGGCACCTGAGCAAAAGCAGGCACGGGAGGATGAGGACTACTGGCAGTTCAGAAATAATCAGGGAAATGATGGAAGAACAGAAAAGTCAACGAACTAATACTTTAGGTCAGATTAAATGGCTGATTTTATCCAGAGGAAACACACTGGTTTTATTTTGCTCATTTTAACCTGGTATTTTTTGAGACTGAATAGAAGAACGTTTCAAAACAAAAAGGCATTTTGAACTGAAATATCAAATCATTGAATATGGAAAATGTAATTAAGCATGTCAAGTTTTTAAATATTTGGGGGATAACTTTTAATATGAAACACGTGGAGAAAGTGGAACACATTCACCAATACTTTTGTGCCATTGTACTTGTGTTTTCCATCCAAAAAAAAAACCCAAATATGTTTGGGTTGAAAAATTTCACCCAAGTCTTTCAGTGTTTTTATAAAGCCAACTAGCGTAAGAAAGGCACAACAGCAGCTTGGAAAGAACGGAGTACGTACGCCGTGCTTGTCTTTTTGATCCAGGACGGAAGACTTCCCCACTGCACCTTCAGCTGCACGGCCGGCTTCCTCGCCAGCTGGCCTGTGGTAGCCACGGCCCCTATCCTGTAGTCCCGGCACTCCTTGCCCCATCTCAGTCTGGCCTTTACAAACAGGGAAACAGTCGCCCAGGTTTCAGAAAAGAGTCACAGAACCACCCCGATCGTTTCAAAACGCAAGTTTTTGTTTCACAAAACTTCATATCGATCCTTAATGTTTCCAGGTTTTTCTTTTGCTCTAAATAGGCTCACAGAGAAGTTTCGCCTACGTGCAGAAAAAATCAGAAGCAGAGCAGGAAAAAAGTTCGCTAGGCTGTGCAGAACCACGGGTACATGTTCCTGCCTCAAAGCAGTCCTTGAAACACCAGGTTTGACATAATTTCCTGAGATTTCCTTAGGCTTGACAACTTCATAATCAATGTGTATTATCTCTAGGCTTCCCCACACCTCTCGACGTGAGCCCCGCCCCAGCAATATCACGCTGGGTTTGATAACCGCAGCTGGGGAAAGGAGAGGTTTGTACGTGGTTACGCGAAGGTCTCTCGCGTTAGAAGGCACACGGGAGGTGCGGCACATGGAGACGCAGAAAAGGGAAAGGAGAGACCTGTTCCTTCATTTATGATGCGCTCTGGGGCACCAACCCATTGCCCAACTTTACTTTTTCCATCCTTAGATAGAAATCCTAAGAAATACAACATTTGAAATGCATTTGAGTTACGAGCCTCCTGAAACAAATTATACAGAGAAACCCAGCCAGATTCCCAGCCAAGCAAACCTATAGTACAGCAAAAAATAAATAGGTAGTAATGAAGCGGTCAAGTGTTCGGACATTTTTTATACCCCTACTGGTCATATTTTGATGTATTTTGAAAGTCAATATCTTTTTTTTGCTGCATTTTGAAATGGCTGATTTTTATTCTTTATTTTTTATTCAGAAGAATAGGGAACAAGAGCACATATTCTGAAACTTTAAAAAGTTTGTGAAATATTTCAAAATAGGCACGTTTTTGCTGCTTGGTTCTGCTTAGCAGCAGGTGCTCTGTGCTTATTTAAAAACCTGGGACTTTCAGACGTCCCTCTGGGTGAAGCTGCCCGTGTGCTTACCTGTGCTTTCAGAGGCAGTATTACAGCGTCGGCACACGCTTTCCAATCGGTTTCAGCCAGCTGAACCACAACTAGTTGCACATCAACTTTGGCAGCATGAGAACGAACATATGCTGTAGCTTGATAACCTTGATTTCTGCTGTCACTCCTCACTGCCTGTGCCACGATCGCAATGCCAGGTGGAATTACGTCTCCCAGGAAGTTGCGCTGAAAAACAACCCCCAACCATCTGTGCTTAAGTATCTGCGTACTCACGGGAGAGCCGACCGTCCAGTTCAGGTGTGCTGGTAGCAGGAAGCAGCCCTCGTCCTTCGTCAGTTTAGTTTGTGGTATGCATTTCTATATTCCCAATATGCAAGGACAAATTTGGTTGGAATCTTGATTATTTTTTTCAGGAATTTTCAAAGACATGATTGTTTCGGTGAGGGATCCAAGACTCTTCCGCAGTATCTTGATGCACGTAGTAAGCTTTTGTTCATTATTTTAATGTTTCAAGTACCTGCCTACGATACGTACTGGGTGTCCTCACAGCAGCATACCCACTGACAACATCGAATCACAGAACAGTTTGGGCAGGAAGGGACCTTTAAAGGCCCTGCAGGGAGCAGGGACATCTTTAGCTGGACCAGGTTGCTCAGAGCCGCGTCCAACCTGACCTGGAGCGTTTCCAGGGATGGGGCTTCTACCACCTCCCTAGGCAGCCTGTGCCAGTGTCTCGCCACCCTCATCATAAAAATATTTCTTCCTTGTATCTAGTCTAAATCTACCCTCTTTTGGTTTAAAACCAGTACTCCTTGTCCACATTTCGCTATACTACGGCTCCTTCCAGCCAACCGATTATTTCAAAATCCTTCCCAGTAGCAGAGTTCTGATGGACATTGCATTTGCAGAGCAGTTTGTTTTATCGCTGTGTAGAGACCTTTACTTACCACAATTACAGAATACTAGGTGTGTGGTAAAGATAAAGATGATCTGTGCTTAATGGGATTTTACTTTTACCGATCAGTAATGACCATGGAAAGTCTGATTTTAGTTATGCTCTGCATGCACTCATGACCTCAGATCCACACCTAAAAATAATTAGGTGGACTTAAGTTAAAAAAGATCTTTAAATAAACCCTATTTATTTCCTCCCCATTTTTACCTTAATGCAATTTATTTTGCATTTTGGGCTTTCATGGGGAAAATAAAATTCTTTCCCCTCTGCCTTACAACTCCATTCCTTTCAATTTTTATGATTTCCAAATCCAGGCTTTCACATCCTGCAAACACCTTTGGAAAGGAAGGAAATCACACCCAAGAAACCAGCAAACCAGCCCCCAGAGCCAAGGGAATTTGGAAGAAATGTTTTCATGGGGGAACATATCCCGACAGACGTTGGCTTTCGATTTACTACCTCGCCTTGCAGCAGACTGCCTGATCCTGACCCCCTCAGCCGGTTGGGGTGCCACCGCAGCACGGCTGGGAACCCAGCCGCTCGTTCGCCCCGTGCCGCTGGCCGTACCTCGCGTGTCCAGCTGGAACCGTGGCTGTGGTGGGTGCTGGTGCCTCTGCTCCTCCTGGAGCCGTGGCCAGCATGTCCTCCGTGGAG